ATTTCATTGGCGCTCGTACTCGTTGATTATTAATTATTATTGGTGTCGTTGTCTTGAATGTCCGTCGTTAAGTATAATAACTGGAGGGAGAGGGGCAAAAAGCTCTATCAATAATTAAAAACACATGGGGAGGTTTTTGCCTCTATTTCCTGAAATTACACCCCTTTGCGGCTGAACGACGATATGTACTTGATAAACTCAAGTTGTTTGGTTTGCTTCTTTTTGTCGTGAGAGAAAAAATGACCAAAGGCTCTGCCTTTTTCCCGCACGTAGATATATAATAAATAAAATACTATCGAGGCTGCCACTCGCTGGCGTATCGTCTTGCATATTACGTATCTAGACACGCACACGCGCGCGTTAACCCTACCCTTATGGTATATATATATATATATATATATGCTCGCGTCGCCTGCTTGGAGATAATCGGAGTTAATTAATTGCTCTTCGGGCAGTGCAGCAGCGGCGCCTCGGCAAACACATTTGCTTATTGTCATCCGTCTTGGTCGCTCGATCGATTCTCTCTAGTCCTACGGTGCCCCCCGTGCGTTTAATGTACACGAACGATGACAGCGGAAACTTGCACTTAGCTCTCCCTGCGCGTATGTGTGGGTGGAAGGAGAGAGAGAGTCTCTTAAGTATATTAAGGAAACGGGGATGGAGCACTGCTGCGCCTCTCTCTCTCTCTCTCTCTGGGTATATTATGATCATCGCGCAGTGGGTGCTTGTTTTTTCGATCTAGATCCTTTAGATGTAGGAAAAAAGTGTAAGGACATTAAACAAAAGTCCCGTTTTTAATAAGATCTCCGAGTTTCTGCACATTTTGTTAAAAGTTGATTTGTGAGGGTTGTGGAGACAAAAATTCGATTTTTAGTTCTTACAGCTTTCATGTTTTGGTATTCCTTTTTTTTTTCTTTTTTTTTCATTCATCCTGCAATAAAATATTTAATACATGCGTATTTATTAAACAAAGAGTATTTAAATATCATTTTTCAATTTTTCTCGATTGACTAACAAAGAATTTGATCTTTTAGGAAATAAAAAAACATTTTTAGGAACAAGCGGAGAGAGTTATTAATTTACACTATTGTCATGAATTCCAAAAAAATTTCACCCTCGAACTTGAATCCAACACTTTCCTATCACTTAAACAGTAGGATATTTTATCAAATTGTTGCAACAAAAATAATAATTTTAAATAAGAATGAGTTAAGGCGGTTCTGTGAAAATAATATTTATACTTTACAGCATTTAATAAAACATATTGCTGTAATCTCACAACGTCACTACGCTCATGCAATGCAATAAAAGACTATTTTTATGTTGAAAAAATTACCATCCTAAATTTCAAAATCCAGTCGAAAGCTCAAATAACTTTTTATTGTGTGCGCATTCGTGCGTGTTTTTTTAAACCAAAGTAATCCATTACGGGCCCCCTAAACACAACAGATTCCTCATACGGCGCATCCATCACATTTTCGAAACGTGTGCACAGCAAAACCACCGCGTCAAGCTCAGCCGATGTAACTCAGCCGCAGACCGACGTCCTCGACAATCCCCCCCCCTAAACCTCTCATTAACGTGAAAGAAAAAAAAAGGGGGGGGGATGCATTTGGATGAAAAACGCGAAACCCAACCATGCCTAGTCCTCAATAAATATTGCATACGCGTTTTAATAGTGGAACTCGCGGTTGAGTCATATCTGTGGAATATGAAATGATAATAATAATCACAGAATCGGCCGGGCGAAATAAAATGAGGGATTTTTCGATGTCAACGCGCGTATTTACGCGGGTCGAGTGAATGCGATTACGGAAAATGAAGAAGCGCGGGTGCGCTGATTTTCGACGAAATTTCATCTCGCTCCGGGACATTTGAGCTTTTCCGTTTGAGAATTATTATTATTATTATTATTATTTATTTTTTTTTTTTTATCGAAGTCATATTGAAATGTGTATAGAACACAACGCGTATAAAAAGAGTACCTACGCAGTATACAAGTGGATCGAGGTCACACAACAGAAATTTTATTTTATGCTTCCCTTCAGCCCTAATTACACGGATCCTCTCCACTTCGAAGAACCGCACTCAACTATCCTTTTTTTTCCCCCTACACTTACACTCTCTCGATAAACAATTCGCTTGCGAAAGGTGAGATATTATCAGTTTCGCTTCGCAGGAACCCATAAAGGAAAAAAAGACACGAGTCAAACTCGTAAAACTCGTAGGGAAAAAAAAAAAGAAAGAAATAACGCAAAATTAGAATGCTCGCTTGAAACGTGCCAAGGGGGGGTGGAAAAAAAAAGACGCCAAGAAGGTGGCAGGTATCTCGGTTCCGGTATCTCCGCGAGCGGCAGCCCTCCCTCGAAGCCTCTCCCCATGACAACGGAGCCGACAACAAAAGCCCGAGCGTCTAATGGACTACTCGGATGCTCGCGCACTTTAATTTCCCTCGGACACCCAACTCACACCGCTATGTAGTTTTGCACATACACGCGATTATTTTTTAGGGCGAGCGAGAGCGTATTGGGAAAATTGCGGGGTATATGATGTTTTTTCAGGAGAAAAAAAAAGGCGGAAAAGTGGGGTAGACTAGCGGCTGATTGCTCCTGAATTGGACGTAATTTTCTATGAATACGCTCCTGCCGAGTCCGAATCTGAAATCAGCTTGGATCCCGTGTGTGCGTGGCGAGCTTTTTTCCTTAAGGATGGATGGAAATTCGGCCGCTCTGATTGTATTTATGGATTTCTATGTATAAGAAGTAGGCTCGCTTGCGTCTCGTATGCTTGGAGAAAACGCAGGGTACACGGGTATTTGCATTCAAAGAGGAAATTTCTTTCTTCCTTTCCTTTATTTTTTTTTTTTTTTGTTTTTGCGCTAAATTCTGGGATGTCCTTATTATATATCCCGGGGCGAGTGGGTGTATCAGTCAAAAATAAAATGGCAATATTCTCTTGCACGACCCTCTCCAAAGAATAGGGCCGGAATATATATACATTACGAGGCGATCGGAGGGAATAAAAGAGGAAGACCCTGCTTTTATGTGGGCAGAGGTCAAGAAGGAGGGCAGAGAAATCGAAGGCGATAGTGTCCTGTGGCATACGCGTTATGAATGATTCATACCGTGATGGACAAAGATAGACGCCATTACGATGGACCATTAGACGCGGGAGCGGTGAAAGTTGCTGATGCCTCCGTGAGCTCGGCAGACAAGTGCGTGTCTCTTTTTACGAGGCCGGATTTTCATGCCGAATAATGGAAGTGTCGAGTCTTTTGTCACTTTCAGGTGGGAAAGTGGATCCTCCCTCGTGTTTTGTTTTGAAAGATGTTTCATCACCGAGTCAGGGGGGAAAGAGGGAAAAACTACGTTGAATCCAAGAGACAAGTTATTTTTTTTTTTTTTTTTTTTTTTTTTTTTTTTTTTTCAACAAATAAACCGTTGAGGTTATGTTGTAGGATTTAACACTACAAAATATAAATTTACCGTTTCTTTGAGCTTTTTCAAATTCAAGATTTTAGTTGCATCATATTCTTCTTTCCATCGATGAATATACATGTTGATTGCATTCTGAATCAATAATGATTCTACATCGATTCAATGCTGAATCGACTTTGACTCAATGAAGGTACAAACCTTTTTTTTAATCACATCGTTTATTCCAAGTTGAATAAAAGTTGGTTTAACATCAATGCACTACCCTTATAGTATAGAACGTCCTTTAAAGAGGTTGACTATTTTTAATGGAAGGTGCGAGGGATGGATTCGACTTTTTAACTCTTTTAGGTTAGAAATGCTCGCGATGGATGAATCGATGCAAGTTTATTAAAATCTACCTTATAATTCTGATGAAAAAAAAAAAAATGTTTAGTTGGAGAGAAAATTTTGATAAATCTCTGTAGGCAACTGTGTAAAACATACGAACTTTACTTCATTAATTTACTCAGTTTAAAGGGAATAATGGTTAAAATACATGAATTTTTTTTTAGTAATATTTGATAAAAATTGACTGTTCACTTCTTAAGATGGCCAACTCCTTAAATTCCAACTATCTGGGCCCATGTACAGAACAATACGAGATATACTTATCGATATGAAGCATGATTATTTTCATAAAAAAATTTTCCTTTTACGATAAAAAAACACTCATAAATAGTTTAATGTCGAATCGTTGTCTTGCAATTGTAACTTACGTGAGCACGTTGTTTTTGCTTTCTGTTACAGATGAACCGTCCTATTCAAGTGAAACCGGCGGACAGTGAAAACCGCGGAGGTGAGAACAAGCGATCGATCCGATGATGAATACAAGCGCGCGATGATGAGCCACAAAATCACGGCCATCCCGATTTTATTCCAAAATTGATCTTACAGTCAGCATTACGATTCTAGTTGATTTTTTTTTTTCCATACGCGAGCTCCGAGACACGATCGTTTATTTTTGGCTTATGAATATCATCGACTATTATTTTTCAAATCATATTTCGTCTTTGATCTTGGAACGTACTGTTTTTGTAGATATCAGCATAAAATAAAATCTCTTTATTTCACTTTGACCAAAAATATGTAAAAATACGGTAACAAAATTCAAAAAATTCAGAAACTAGACGGTATATATTCCAACATAAAAGTGTATGAGAGTCGAAAGAAGTAAAGCGTCCTAAATACGACACGTTCTCTTTTACTGATTCGCTCGACTACCCTAAATAGTATACTCCCTTGCCCTTCGCTTTTCGGGTTTGCGTTTCTTCTTTTCTATTCTTTGGAAGGCATCCAAAAGATGAAGATAAGTGACGCACAAACGGATAAACGATCGTGACTCGGATTTGTATACATAGATTCAGTATATCTGATGCTGTTTTTGTTCTCTTTTTTTTTGTTCGATTTTTATTATTAAAAAAAAAAAAAAAAAAAAAAAAACACTGTAATACTTTTCTTGCAGAACTTAGGAGCTCGCTCGAAGTAAATAATAAAAATCCAAAAACTCTAGATATTTGTTCGATAGTAAGATGACGGGTGGGGTGGGTGCACTGGTTAATGATCAGTTTGAATGATAATGTTAGTGAAAAGAGAAAAAAAAAAAAAACGTGATCGCGTTGTCGAGCTATTCTCTCTCTCTCTCGTGTGGTGTGACGAGTATCACGAAGACATTGAAGCCTAAGACACAAATGTTCAAGGTACGTGGATACAATTGAAAAGAAACAAGCAAAATAAAAAGCATTGAGTGTGACGGTAGTGGGCTAAAATTTAACGATTAATCAAATCTCTCTGTCTCTTTTTTTGTATTATCTGTGGAATTATATTTATGTGTGAATTTAAGAAGCACATTTTTTTTTTTTAATTTTTTTTACATAGTTTTCTCTGTGTTTTGTATAAAAACTCGTGTTTACTGTGTCAGCTTTAACGTAAATCTAATGTGCTGCGGGACTCCTAACATTAAATCGGTGTGGACTATCTTAATGTTGTGACTGTGTAAAAAAAAAATTGCATAACAAAATTGGTCATTCATGAGTGCATTCACCCTTTCAGGTATTTTTAAATCACAACCATGTCTTAAGTCGATAAGAATTATTATTATTCGCAATTATACTTACAATGAGCAAAGCGTTCTCTTGATCTAATGACATTTATTTTTCATAGCACGCGATTAATACCAAAAAATTAGTGATAATTGATATAGCGTAAGATAAATTTGAGATTTGACTTTTTTCCAAATACTAATGATTGTATTGCATTGAACGGGTTAATATCATAGTAACAAGTAACAATAGTACACTAAATACACAAATCCAATTGGCTATATAATGACAAAATTTAACGACATTTACATATGATATTTCACTTGCAAAATAATACTCCATCATCGCTCGTTCGTTCGTTATGTTGCCATCTACTAATGACCACTCTATTGAAGTCCTTATCTCACAATTGTAAGATGAAATCTGATCAAAATACAAAATTTGCGAAACACAATTCCTCATCGGATGACGTGTTCGACCATCCACCAACCGAACGATCGTCTTTCTAATGCTCCAAATGCTAAAGGAAACCTCATGAATTCCCTTTTCTTCTTTTACATTCGCAAAAGTCCATTGTAAAACCAAACAAAAGACCATAGTCCACAAGTAATACCAAGACGAATGATGGTTCCCAAAATATTCCTGAAACTGCAAAGTCTCCAAAGCCCATATAAAGTCCTTCGAACAATGAGCGGGAGAAGAAGCTTCCACATCAGCCCGCATGATTCGACGACTTGCACGTGTATGGAGACCTCCTTGGGTCAGTCTCGTCCAAAGTCAAGCCAAAGGCCCGCATACGTGGACAACTCTTCCTCGATCTTCCCCGAGAGGCAGATGGTACTTTACTTCTTGAATCTTCGCGAGCCAGTCGATGTGCCCACACGTACACCAGCTTCGCTGCGAGAGAAAGATGGAACTCGGCTCGAGGGGGAGTACGGGACGAGCCGTAATTCATATGCTAATCTGGAGGAGATGCCATTGTAATCTCCGGTCCACAAAGCCCTCGCCTTGACACGGATGCAGGCGGCAGAGTGATCCGTACCAGGCGCCCTATACACTGTACTCCTACTCCAACGCAGTGTCTCGACCTGCCCCCACTCCCCCTGTCTATACGTCTCCATGTATACCTATGTAGATGATCTCTGTATCCTTTGGAAAGAGAGAGTACGTGCCCGTGTATACACACGCACCAATACGTGTGTGAGTTCAATCAGATGACGCGAAGGGGCAGAGCATATACACACACACACACACACTGCGAAGCTTTGGCTACATCATTGCATAAAGCGACGAACTAGGCTCCGGGACTTTGGTACAGTATCCACCCCCTCTCTCTTCTACACTGACAATGCAAAACGCAGCCGACACTCTGGGCTGGATTCCATCTGACGCCCCTCGTGGAATACGTAAAATCGCTTCAATAACGTGCACGAGAGCTGCCTGACTCTCTCTCTCTCTCTCTCCCTTTCTATACACGCCGGTATTGGGAGCTTCGATGAGCCGGCATTACTACTCCAAAGCCTAGGTGTTAGTAGAGGGTTGTGTCCCTCAATGCCTCCACGTATGTATAGTATATATATATATGTATCCGCGCGTGCAACTTCTGATAAAACATTGGGGACAGACTAAGGCACCGAGAGTTTACAGCAGTTTTATTGATACAACACCACGTACAATCCGTACTCCCCAAGAACTTTATCCCAGTTTCTGGGTTATCATCATGATGGGTTGTATACAGTTTTGCCAACCCACTTGGAGCGAAAAAGTAATTCCAATGATACTGTCGCGTATATATATGGTGGTTCTTGCTGAAGCCTCGAGCGAATTGCACTTCTCTCTCCCGAAAAAAAGTCACTCCAAAGTCCCCGGGAAAGACATCACGTGGATATGACGCCTAATGTTCCGTCGAGTCGTATTCTGACAGTGCTAAATTGCTGAAGGAAGTTTCGCGCCAAAAAGACGACAGGGAGTTGGCTGGACTCGTAAAAAGAAGCAATCCTCCCACCTTTCAGTTGCACACATCGCGCTGAACGTCTTCCATGGAGCCGCAACACTGTGTCTCGCCATCCCAAGAAAAAAGATCCCAGAAGGAAAATCTTCATCCTCTCCCCTCCCCCACTGTGGAAGAGTTTCATTGTTCGGACGATTCGGCGCGTTTTTCCCGTGTTAATGACCGGCCTTTAGCAGAAAGGAGCCCTATAGCTTCCGAGCCGCGTAGCCCTGGCTTAATTACATCGTTTATGGTTTCCAGACGATGCTTCTCCTCTATCCACCCTAACTTTTCTTTCTCCGTTTGGTCTCTTCACACGCCACGACTCAGTGTTCTATTAGAGCAGCTACAAAGGACAGATCAAATTTTAATTGCGTCGCGTTAACCGACCTTTGGGCTTTGCCAATGCTATTTCTAACCCTTTATGTCCTTGGGTAGGTATTATGTATACCGACTGCTGGTACTTTATCGACGTCGTCGCCACGAGACAACGATTTTACGTAGGAAGGGGAATCTTTCCTTTTTAATCATAACTTCCCTCTACCCTCTTTCTCCTCCAGGACAAATCCTTCGATTAATTACCAGCCTGGGAAGTCCGCTGTAGCGAAGCTCTCACGACGGGTCGTCTTTAAGGGACGAGGTAAAAAATCTCCCTCCCCTCCGAGACACTTTAATCTCTCGGCCGTCTTTCCACCCTCGTGCAAAAAGAAAAGTGCTTTTTTCCTTCTTTTATAATCTGAAATAATCAATACTCTCAAGGCCGGAGGATTTTCCGAAGTTTCACTTCGAAACTCGCTGATCGCCCCGCTGAAGCGCGGAGCTTATAACTTGGCCGCTCCCGCGCGAAGGATTTGTTGGCCGTCGTTTATCTCCCAACGGGGGATGTGTTTAAAGATGCACGAGTCAAAAATTAAAGGTAACAACTACATGTACTCTACAAGCAGGCAGTGGGATCCTCGAAAAACTCACCCCCATTGGGTGTGGGCGTCCAGCAAACATCCAAATTTGAAAATAGTAATGGCCTTCTTTGTTTCCGAAAGTGTATCCACGCGTGGGTATACGCGATTCCCCGCACAATCGCTTTCAACGCGACTATACGACACCATACAGCCTTCAAGAGACAGCCAAGCAGCAGCAGTACAGCGCGAGATAGAAACTCCCTCGTCGGGCATTAACTCGACAGTAGGGGTGTCGAGGCAGATTTGAAAAGCGAACTCGAACAAACTCCCCGAGCCAAGTGGTTACGAGAGCGGGATAAGGTGGCTGGCTGAAGCCGTATACTTACTTACGCCGCCCAAAGCTAGTTGAGCAAGTAGATAAGTTTCGATCTCTTACCCCCCCCCCCCCCCGTCTGTCTCTCCTAGCATCATCACCACCCCCCTCCGCTCTATCTCGTGCCACGCGGGGTCAGTAGGGGGGGAAGGACACCCCGAGAATGGCAGGACATCGTCGTCGTGTCTTTTATCGATTGGCGTCCAACTTTGCCGCGGGAAAAGCCCTTACCCCCCACCACCCCGCTCTCTCTCGGCGCAAGTTAGAAGCTGTTCCTTTTAGAGGGTAAACAGTGTCGAGTCCGGGCGAAAAGTTTACACAATGCGCCACGCAGTTTCTTTTTTTGCGCTCTCTCTCTCTCTCTCTCTCTCTCTCTTAACCTCTAAATATCTCTTTCTCCATCTCTAGTGGGTGTGTGTGTGTTTGAGTGCGTGCGCGTGTTTTAAACGCTCGCTCGTCATAAATAAGAAAAGTGGAAAATTGTTCTCGTTTATCCCGCCCCCCCCCTCTCTCTCCTTCCATAACCAACTCCATCTCGAGCTTTTGCATCCTCTTTGCTACCGAGACTCTCTCGAGTTACCGCGCTTCTCTTGCTTAGAGTGGGGGGGGAGATGGGTAGTGGGGATGAATTATTCAGGGATCTCGAAAAATAGGGCAGCGTCTGTGCTGGCTTTTGGCGTATCTTAAGAATTCATAATAGCGATAGCGTGAGAGAGAGAGTACATGTAATAAGGGTGGGAGCTGAGAAATCAAAAATTTAAAACGTTCCGTAAGAAAAAAAGGAAGGCTGGGGGGGAGGGAGAAGACGGTGAGGTGTCTTCTGTAATTTGGAATTGCGGAGAAGTCGCTTTTTACGCTCTCTTTTACCCTGTCTGTATATGTATACGTAGCTACAGCTCGCCGCAAGCTGCTTAAAATAAGAAAGTCGGAATTGCAGCAGATAGTAGCTCTCATATTTCTCGAGAGCGGGTGAAGGAACGAATGTAAGAGAGCGTGGCAAATAAATGAAGTCCTTTGATAAGCGCCTTGGGGCTGCGTACATGGCACGATAAGGATTCATTGTTTGAGATTTTTTCCTGACAGAGGGCGCATCGACCTTGAGTTGCGTCCTGCTGAAACCTTGGTGTGCAGGGGCGTGTAATCATCGAGGAACTGTAAAAGTACGACCCCTATACACCAAGTGTAAGTGAATAAGCCATTTCACTCGACTGGCAAACTCGATCCATTATCCTTGGGCGTCGCTGTCCATCGATGCGTCTCGAAATCAAATCCCAGGGCGTCGCCTTGCTTTTGTAGCTCTTATCGAACGTTGGACAGAAGAAATAAAGGATGGGGCGAGAGAGAGAAAAAAAGAAAAAAAAGTTTCGTACATAATTTCCCGAGGGTGAATTCTCTT